GGGGTCGTTTAAGGTTTTTTTGACGGAAACAAAACTCCTGCGTTGGGTATTGCATATGCTATGTAAACTAGATTTGCCCTGACTCAAAGGCCTTCATGCATTTGTAATGCACAAGCCCTCAAAAATCACTCCTCTTTACCACAGTCGGCCGTTAACACCAAGTAATTTGACAGCGTTTCGCACCCTCAAAACAATATTTCATATTTAATTACTGAATTTATCATCGAACGCATTAAAAGACTGTTTTGTTTCTCTTTAACACTATGAGCAAAAAGGCTAATTACGAGTGCAAAACCATTCTATAGGGGCCAGTGGTCGGTTACCCATGGGACTTTTTTGTTTTGTAGTGCGTTCAATGCCCTTAATGACTCCGCATCCTAATGACAGCCTGCCTTTCAATAGCATCCTAAGCAACCATTTTAGCATCTCTGTGTTCATAGCAGTGTTTTTAAACCGCTTTATTAGCCACCATCGTGAAGGTAAAAGCGTCACAAATGGCTTTAAATAGGACGAGTTGACCAGCTATGGAATAAATCAACAGGTAAATTTGACTCATTTGTTTTGAACGTCCAAATCAAGTAGAGATTTTGTGCCTTAGCCTACGATGTGTGGGTTTTTTTTATTGAGAATGGTCGGCAATATTGGTTGCGTTTACTGAAAAATGGAAACCGTCCTTCGTTTTTAGAAGTAACGACTAAGTGACCTTTCCCCCTTAATTCACATCATTCAATTATCTCTCCGAGTTAAGGAAAGATGAAAGATTCTCAACAACAATTAAATTTTTAAGACCGTAGGAGCACTCGTATTATTCATCATTTGGTTTGGAATAAATTATTGGGTTGACTCAGTATTATATTCAGAGCACCATTTGTAGTCTTGGCTACTTAATTCAGTTCGATAGTGAAAGAGTGTGAACTTTAACTGAATGTGAAGAGAAACGAAGCAACTTAGCAACAAAAATCCTTGTCTAACTGACTAGAGTCGAACACATGACCTTTGAGAAACCGGTGCAATGCTGTGGCAGCTCGCCTTTCTGTAATTGTTCTACCTGTAGTTGTAATACTAGGGAAATGACTCTATCACTACAAGTCAAAGTTCTTGTAGAAAATGAGACTATAAAATGAAAATGTTTCAAGTCAGAGTGAAGTGAAGTTCATTCATCCCAGTGAGCGAAAACGGTTGCCAAGACAGACAAGGGAGACTGTTTATAAATTAAAGCTGTGAAAAGAGAACCTGTCTAAGTTCTCTTGGAAAGACTTTTGATCTACCTTTCTGCTGGAGAATCATTCACTTACGTTAGTTTGACTATTGGCTACCTGGTACCGGTCCAAACAGAAGGGAGGTTCGCCTCCAGTAAATAAGTAAGTAGGTAAAGACTTTATTTAAAGAGGGTTTACATGCGCTAAATAGCCAAAGCTAATAAAGTTGTGGCCCTCTAGATCAAATATTGAAATAGTTAAGAGCCTGCATGTTGTTGACGAAAACGTTCATCTCACATTGCATTCTTGAAAGATTTCAAAGACTTGACAGTCAGGTCTACAGGAAGCTATAGAAACCGAAAGCGAGCTATATGCAATGATCCGTAACCTGTGAGTGTTCCGCTGAACAGTAAAAGACAAAAAAAAAAAACTTACTGGTAGATAAATATTCATTTGCTTGTGTAACGTTCTAGTTGCCCCGCTCACAAAAAGCATTTACCGTCACCAAATAAAAATGTTATGCCCCTGTTTTGGATTTTGACCCAAAAATAAGATAATATCATAATGCTTATTTGAAATTGATAAAAGCAATCGGTTCAATTAATGATAACAAAATTTGTGCTTTCTCTGCCTGCCCCAAGAATAGTACTCCCTTCCCAGCTGTCTTGCGTGAGCTCTATGTACCGGACATCAATAAAGCTCAACAAATTGGACAAATATGGCTATGGGCAAAAGGTCCATAGCCACTTTTACTGAAACATTAAAATTCATGACTAGTTCCTTATACATCAGTAAAGGTTTGCCGCCAAGGAAACACCAAAAGGAAATGTGTTGAGAGCACATAGGCTGTTCGATAAGTAGTAAGAAAATTTCTCTCTAGCTCACTCCAACAACCTAAAACGACAAATAAACTGGCATTTATGTAAAGACGTATGTAAGGACAACTTATCGAAGCACAGTAATGCAGCTGCAGTGCCCGCGGGGATTAAAACAAACGGCGGATCTATTTCCTTTTTTACCAGTTTTGGAATGAATGCACCTCCTCCTCTTCCTTCTATTTTGACTTCAATTCACACAGCAGAAGGCGCTGATCCGTAGAAACGAGTTTATTGTAAACATGACCGAATTATACACGTTCGACAAACTTCAGTGTCAACCTCAATAAAGAACAAAGAATAAAACTATGAAGCGTAATTCCGGGTCTTTTGATATTTGGAGCTTGCTTTATTTCAGGAATCCCTGCAGGCGTGATCTATCGCTGAGTCACCTATAGCTGATAAATTAAGCCTTTATTACGTTAATCCATAATACGTCACTTTCAGACAAAGCATAAAAACGGAAATTGTTATGACTTGTGTGTGTCCGTGTGTCTAAAGGCTTATAAAAATTCAACTGCAGTTTTAATAACTTCATTGCTGAGTAGCATTGTAATAGCGATGCCGGGGACCGCTTTATTGAATTTTTCTATTTTGCTCTCATCTAATCATTCCTAACAGAAAGCGATATGCTGCATACTCGTAAAAACAGCTCGCCTAGCCATAAAAAATAACGTTTTGTAGATCCCTGTCGGAACAATAAGATCTGATCTTTACTTGAATTGGTGCAGCCTGTAAAGAAAAAAGGATTATAGAAGATTGCCAGGTGATGTTTGAATCTTTGACGTCTTTTGATAAAAGAGAAAATCAAATAGATATTATCAGTTTGTATTTGATCTTGCTGTTTGTATTCGTACAACTGAGCTTTGTCATACACCTTTTCAGATGTCCTATATGTGTGTTTTCTCTCACGTACAGTACAAACAGATCAAGGCTGAATCGATTGTCTGGTGAAAATGGCGGCAAGAGCAATTCTTTTTATTGCTTTGTTCCTTTTGCAAGGTAAGCCGTAGAGACATTCTTCTAACATTTTATGATAGATATAAAGACTACAAAAGCAGAACAAAAACTGGCAAACGTCGACACAGAATGGTGGAGACATTTCAAAATAGCAACAATATTTATAAATGGCACGTAGGTAGCTAGTTTTTACTTAAAGTTTCTTTTCCCAGGGAGAGGAGAAATGTCGAAAAGAACAGGGGACAGAAAGAAGAATGTTGACTGTTTACAAAATAAACCATTTGTCGGTGGTGTTAAACAACAAAATGGAGAGGTATTGTCCTACGGTCACAAGAGAAAAGCAATAATAGACACAGATATTTCAGAGTATGAGACAAATGTAAATTGAGAATGCGCGCTGTCGGGGAGTTGAAATGGACAAGGAATGGTTGGATGTTTGATTTTGTTTTCTATTTTTTTCGAATTTAGATCTCCGAGGTTATAACTTAAAACTTTTTTGCTAGTATCATCTAAAGGAAAATAGAATCATGTTTCCGTTTTGACCAAAACTTGCCAAATGAATGTTTGCATTATCAGACTTTATTTAAAGATAAACTCGGTTGTAAAACCTTGAACCAAAATTAAAAGTACATGAGCCATGAACGTTTCACGCCCCTCCGTATACTAGCATCATTGTCATAATACCTTAACATTTCATACTTAGGAGTTCGTTTACTTTATTTTTGTCCGGTCGTATTCTAGGAGACTTTTCATTTGTATTTGCGGATTCTTTCTAAATTTGTTTATTCAGTTTCCACTGTGAAATCGTCACAGAAATCTTAACAAAAAGAGAATCCTGCTGTTAGAGAAAATTGGCAAGTCGTAAAGTATGAATTACGACCAGCAGGAGGTCGCTATTAGGCTTTTTCTTAGTTTGAAAACTACTCTTGAACAGAAATTAAACTTTGTAAAGGGAAGAGTACGGTAGAAAAGCACAGCTTATGAAACACACTTATTTTAGCCGCACCAAAGCGATGTGTTATTAATTATAATACGAACCACAAAGTTAAATTGGTATGCTACTTTTCATTGTTCACTACGAACAAGAACCACAATTGAGAAATGTTGACTATACCGTAACATCTTTGAATGGAAGCAAATGCCATATTAATGCCAAATGATACACAAGGGTAATAAATTAACTTTGAAGAACTTTCGTTGTTGAGTCTGGGAAAGGCTTGATTTCAAAGACATACCCTCTCCTAAAGTTCCTTGTCGAGGTTTAATTGTAATGTTATTGTTTACTGTTGAAACGTTTAGTTAATTAAAAAGCCCGACAAATTTGTCTGACCCTGTGTAAAATGTCCGGCTTTCGGTTTTTTTTTTTTGTTCAGTTGTTTTCTTCACTGAGTTGTGCTTTGTCACGAGGCCGGCTCCGGCAACGGCAACGACGATGTAATTCACATTTTCGACAAAGGCTGGATTCTTCCCTAGAGCGCGGTCTATGTATAATAAATGCAAACAATCCGGCGCATTCAGTTAATTTAATGCTAGGGATCAGAATACCGCATCTCAGAGTAGACGACAGTTTCTAATAGACTGCTTTGTCGATCTAACATTAAGAATTCTTCGAGACTTTTCAACTGTTCTTGTTGCCGGTTCAACTGTTCTGTTTCTTGGAGACTTTTCAATTGTTATTGGTTTGAAATAACTTCTCTTTAAGAATCTTCACATTTAGCAGCAATTGCCTTTGTCACGTTTTAGGTAAATTATGTCTCAGACCAGTGTTTTTATTAATAACAGGCAACGGTAGAGTCCCTATCGAAATTGCTTTCTTCCTTTTTGGTTACAGGAAATGTCAACTGCATTAAGTGTTATTCAAAGTATTCTCCATATTTCCGTGGCTACTTCATGGAAGCCAGTGATTGCCCAGGAGCCACCTTAAGAAATTCAACCACCAAAGACCCAAACATTGTTTGCTGTATTTTGGATAGTGCCATAATCCCTTCGATCCCACAGAATGTCAGTGTTTCTCTGGAATCTTACCTTGACATGGTTGGAGATACAACAAGGACAAGGGCACTGTATCCATTTTACTTGCAAGCATTACGTGACGCTCGGATTACCAGGAGACGCCACATAGCGGCATTTACTGCTCAAGTGAGTTTAAAGAGATCTGTAACCTGCTAATTGCGAAGTCAAAACTCTAAAAAAGAAACTAAGTCCTCTCTTGTTTAATGTTCAGCTACAGATGAATTTGAAAACATGGCGTTGACAAATTTGTTCACATTGTAAGACCAAATAATTTTTATAGTACTTAGTCATGTTTGATTACTGGATTCCTGTCGATCAGTTTCAAGTCAGACATTATTGTTGTGCACCTATGACCTGTTGTGTTTCACAGCATCTTCAGGTTTATGCAATTACGGTCTCCCTTTAATTAACTTTCTGTTTCCATTCCAGGAAAGCAAGGCATGAACCACTGAAAATACGTTTTAGCTGTCCGATTCACTACTGAACTCGAAATGCGCGTTTCACCACTGTCAGTGCATCGGTCACTTATAATTTAAAAAAGAAATAAAGATCTCGAAGAGAGAAAATATGGCTCCTTTTCCGGTTCATTCCTTGCTTGTTTCTTTTGTTTTTCGCTGAAGATTACTAGGGACGAGTCCCTTCAAGAAGTAAAATGTTAAACTTTTCCAACTTTACCACACATAATGCCAGCTAACATTTCTGTGATACACATTTTCGTTAGATCTTATATCAGACATCAGGAATGAAATTTTCTGAGGAGAGCTCCAACGGTCAGGAATACGAAAGAAAGGAAAGCTTGGGAAATTCTAAAGAGGCTGATGGACGTAAATACATCGGTAGAGGATTTCTACCTCTAATTGGGAAACACATGTACCATCTTGCAACTTTATCTGTCAACAGCAATATCATCCGTAAGTTTGGTTACAGGCAGCTGTTTCTTCTTCTTCCTCTTCTTCTTCTTCTTCTTCTTCTTCTTCTTCTTCTTTAGAAAAGGATCCCCCGCCTCGTATAACAAAGTTTTTCTGAAAGATTTGTGAACTATAGCGTCTTAATAATGTTACGCAAATAAACTCCGTCTTCATACTTTCTTACCTTCTTTTGGAATTGCTTTGCGAAGTTTTTCCAAGCAAAATGTTTCTATCAACTTCACTTGCAGGCCAACCGGAGATTGTGGCGTTCCCATCGATAGGATTTAAGGTTGCCGCTTGGCTATGGACTACTGGATATAGTTCAGCTGACAACAGCAGCTTACCGACTGGGAACTTGGGAAAGTTCTGCAAAGGAACAGAATACAGCTTCTTGGAATTATCTATTAATGTTCAACAAAGTACAGCTAGGATCGAAACACTGTTCCATCACTGGCGGCATGCACGTAACGTAAGATTGACTGATGTTTCTTGAGCTCCTAATCTAAAATTAAAGTTTTCAATTCTTGCATTTCAGTGGTACAAAAAAGCCAAAGTTAAATTCAGATGGCTACCATTGTCAATCTAACGACCGTTGCAACTGAAACCTGAAAAAAAATTGTTAGTGCCACCAAACGATGGAATGGACGGCAGTTATTTTTGTCCACACACTACAAAAAGGCTGTGTGTTATATAAGAAGATGTGGCTTTTGTTCACTGTGGTTAAATAGACAAATGAACGTTTGATCGTTTGTCTCATGATAAGGAGTCAGTATCAATAATTGATCGCAGTGTTTAGACTGTTATGCCGCTAGTCTTCTTCAGGGGACGAGGTTGCATGATTACGCATGTAACACGTTGGATCGGTTTTATTAGCTCGTCATTAATATTCCAAATGGCTGGTGTTGTTCATTCCCTCAAAGGTCCGCTTTGTTATTGACCGACTGTAGTGCTTTATGACTGTAGGCAGCAATTCTCTAGGAATTTCGATTCCGCTGCCTCTTTTGATTTGGGATGTCAGGTCCAGGTATCAGCCCTGGCCGGCTCATTGCACTGACTTTCTGAGCAAGGCACTTTACTCTCACAGTGCCTCTCTCCGTCCAGGAGTCTAAATGGGTATCGGTAAAATGGTAGAACACTTGACAAAATGCTGAGGCGTAACCCGTGATGGAATAGGATCCAGCTCGGGGGAGTAGCAATACTCCCAGCCGCTTGATTCTCTCTATTGACGTTATTTGGATGAAGCCAGTGATGGTCATGATCAATAAATTAACCAGGTTCCAAACAGGAACAGCCCTGCCTATTATCCTGGATTATGTACAGAAGTGAACAAAGTGAGACAGGAGTAGGTCCCGTTTCAGAGATTGTTCTGTATTCTGTAGTTAAGAAACAGTTGTAAGTCTTTATCTTGTTATCAACAGGTAATTGGTCTCCTATGTCCGTCAGATGGGAATGGGCCAAGGTGTTCGGTAGATGGAAGAAGTGGAAGGTGCAAATTGGTGACAAGCTGCAAGGGTGAACATTCTGCAACGGGTTGTCCTCTTGCAACCTCGCTGGTCACATGCTGTCTTGGTAATGACTTTGGCAATATTAACAAATGATAAAAGCAGTCACACATAGTAGATGACGGTTTCAACATGGAGAACATTTAGAAACACAGTCTCCTTCCCGTACAGTGGACATGCTATTAAAAAAAAGCATTGGCAGAGACCGCGCTCGAGATATTAATTATAAGGTCATATTAATGTCCTTTTCGAAGATATCGTAGCTCTGTCTTCCTCTAGATTTCTCATTGATTGATTCTTAGACGAAAAGTTGTTTCATTAATAGTGGAATAAGTCAGCCACAACATTAATTTTGTGCGCGCCTTAACAATTTTTGTCCATTCGCGTAAAACACACGCAAAAATATGTATGAATAGGGTAATAGTTAATTTATCTCAATTATCTTCCTTAGATTGTCAAAATCCGATCGATTTAGCCTTCGTATTGGATTCCTCTACCAGCGTCAATCCATCCAACTTTCAACTTGGACTCCAGTTCATCATAAAGGTTTGCAAATATTTCAACATTTCATATCCTGATGGCACTCGAGTGGCTCTCATCAGATACAGCGACGTTCCGACGACAATGTTTCGTTTTAACACCTACGCCAACAAGCAAGACGTCCTTAGTGCAACTGGATCGGTACCTTACGAACCTGGTTTGACCCGCACCGACTTAGCTCTCTTAGAAGCCCATGCAAGCCTGTTTGGAAACCCAGATCACGGAGTCAGAGCTAAAGAATTGGGTATTCCGAGAGTGCTTGTTCTTCTTACTGACGGAAGAGCTAGCTTGGGGACGGGCTCGGTAATCACACCATCCGAGTTGCTCCGTGGAGACGGGGTAAACATTTTTGTTATAGGGATTGGTCAGAGACTAAACAAGAATGAGTTGAATATCATTGCCAGTGATCCTGATGATCATCATGTAGTTTCTTCCAAAACCTTTGCAGGCGTAAATTCCCTGGTAGGAAACATTCAAGAGAGCTCGTGTTATGGTGAGTGCTTTGCCGTGCTATTTTCGCTGTGATCCGGCTTTCTCTTCTGTCCTTTCATCTCTAGCTTCAACTCAAAGATGTAAGTTTTGTCATCTTTTGAATTTCAGTTTCAGGAAAAACTATTTCCCTACATTTTAAAGTGGGATAGTAGGTCAGTGATGTCAAAAAGCAAGCCCCATATCAAATTCCAGCCTAATCCGTAAGCAACAATCTCGGTTTGCCGATCAATTGCTGTTCGACGATACTGAAGGAATCAAGAATCAGCTCTGCTTTCCAGCGGCAAAAACGCATTTCCACAATTGTAAGCAATTTCTAAGTTTAAACCGAAAAATTTCCAAATTTTTGGGTTCCCATGCATGACTAAACCGGTCAAGTACAACATACGTCCACGTGGCATATCGCCATACATTTGCTCAATCGGCAGATGACATCATTTTCCCTCGTGAGTAAACACACATTGCTTAAAGTCATTTCTAAAAACGCAGTCATTTCTTCTTTTACAATTAATTACTACACTATTTTTCCTTACGCATTGTTTCTTAGAACCTGCTCTGCTCGAGGAAGAAGAAGAGGTAGTGTCCAGTGTGGTACAAAATTCTGTAAAATATTATAAATACGACTTGTTGAACAAGACGGGGATAAAGACCGTATTCCTGCAAACATCCCATGGAAGTGCTGGTATCTCAGTTTCTACAAGCATCAGGAATCCCCGAAATTATCACGTCAACCTTGGATCCTGTGAGTTCCATGGAGATATTAAGCTTGCTGATAGCGATCCCCTTTGGCAACTGGATGACCTTCAAAACAGTACATTTTGTAATGCTACTTCCAAGGGAGGCAGCACCGAGCCCCGCTTTGTATCTGACGAGGAATTCGCTGCAGAAGGATTGATCATTTACGTGAAAGCTTGCTCTAGCAGATGGTTTTATGTCTCAGTCGAGGGAGTTAATGAGACAAATACGTTCAGTTTGACACTGTTCAAGGACCTCATCAGAATAACGGTAGGTTGCTTTCCATTTCACATATCATTTGTGAATTCCTTCTTTTTTCATCTTACCAACACCCAGAATTGCTTCTTGCGGAAAGATCTTATAAAGCAGACAACACCTGCAGCTTACTTCAGTCTCTACAATTCTTTGGCATTCTCAATTCCTCGCATGTCTATACCGAAAACTCAGTAATGATTATTTCTTTCGCCAGCAACCTGCTTTGTTCGACATGCAATAAAATGATTGAGTGATTGGCGCATGTTAAATACATCATTTAATAGATTGCTTCTATTTTCTATTGATCAGAGTAAGAACAACACGGATGGAGTCTCAGAGAGTAATGACACCACCTTTCCGATTCCTAGGAAAGTGTTCGTCGGAGTAGCAGTCGCGACCGTCGGAACCACAGCAGCCGTAGCAGCTGCTGTTACGCTATCGTAAGTATGGAGTTCCAAATCTAAAATCTCGACTTTGCCAATTTTTTCTTTATTTATTCAAGTATCTAACGATATCATAAAATACTCAAAGTCAGTTTTTAAAGTTTTTCAATAACTTTCATTGTGAGCTAGTACAAACAAAATGTCTGTTTACTTTTTCCGTAATTCCAGTCAAATTATCTCTTGAACAAGACGATCTACGTACTAGTTTTCTGTCTATCTTTATTTAGAAATTGATAGCTACCCCGATGAGTTAACAATGGTCAAGTATCTACAGTTTTCCAGAATAGTAATCCAGAGTTTAATTCTGATCCTAAATCAACAGTACAGTTTTCATTTTGAATCATAGTTGCGCGTGGAGTAAATGTTGGCGGTAAGTGTAGACAGTATAATGTCATTGATCAATCCATCTTTTTAATGCAGATGCGCAAACGAATTTCAACTCAAAGGCTCCACGAAGATTAAGAAGAAAAAAGGGAAAGGCAAAGAAAAGAACAATAACTCTGTAGTTAACGAGGCTTTTGAAGGAGACGATGATGAAAAACAGAGCAGTCAGAATCGCTCCAGTCTCACTCTTTTACTAGAGAGCGGTGATCTGAAGAAAGAAAAAACGCGTTCAGTTCATGTTACCGAAGAGAAGACTGATGTTATGACAGGAATGAAGAAATGTCGAAAAGGAAATGATATAGAGAAAGGAAACGGCCGCGCGACGCACGGAGAAGAATTCTCACGAGGAAATTCCCCATGTTCCAGTGAAGGTCGACAAAGGAAACTCTCGCGTCACGGTAGTCTGGTGACTTCGATGATTTATGATTTACAGAGAGAAGACACAATTATAGAAAAAACACTGGCAACAGAAACAACGGTTTCTGGAGGGACTGATTCTCTTGTCGAGGGAGCTCGCTTCAAACGTCAGGTTACCAGTACAAGTGTATCGGTAGCTGTTGTTACATCAAAAGGAGTTCAAAAAGAAAAGGTTCCAATTGGCGAAGATAGGGTCAGAAGGATTGGCGCCGAAACAATGAAACGAAACTATGATAAGCTGTTAACAGGACTTGGAGACACGGAAAACGTATTTCAAAAAACTAAACCAAAGAGAAAGGATGCTGTAACACTAAATTCTTACAAAGACCAAAACCATTTTTTGAGCAATGATCTCAAAGCAGCCACAGGTGAAAACGTGAAACAAAATGACGGGAACACAACGCAAGATTCAAACAGTTCTTTTTCTCATCGGGAACCAGAAAAAGTGACAATCTGTTGCTTTCAATGGCAGCCCTCTTCATCTAACAACATAGTTAAGAAGGCTTCAAAGGCTGAAGAAGAATCAGAAGGAAATGGCATTGAAAAAACCGAAACTCGTGAAGTGAGTGATAACGTCGAGAAGACTGAAAAAGTTAGTTTTCTAGTCCGCATGAAAAGGAAAGTCACAAAGCGTAAGGTAATGGCAGCGATGTGTCCTTGTTTCACATACTTTATCCTGGAAAGTGAGCACGGAGGAAATTCAGTCAACAAGGCAAAGGGGGAAAGTGATAAAAATCCGCAAGAAATAAGGTAAATTATTATAAGTACTTCCTATGTTTGCTAACTGTGTTCAATTGTGAGAAACTCAAAAGAAATTTATTAGACTGAAAAAAGCTGTTATCTATGTTTTTCTAAACCGTTTCCTCGCGCACTATTGCTGTCGTAACACCTTGTTATGTAATAAGGATGAAGGCATTGTGTTCCATACTTCAACTTCAACTTCAACTTCAACTTCACTTTATTTTGCACTTACATTTTGAAATTACAATATTAGCATAAAAAAGAAAAAAAGATACATATATAACAATTAAAGGTGACAATGATACATAGTTTGTGCATGGAGGCTAATAGAACCGCGAGATTATCGAGTTAGTCTCCATCTCGTTTGAGTGAACATAAAAAACCATGGGAGTAGAAGGACGGATTACTAAAAGAAAGGGCTGGAAGAATTGTGGAAACTTAAGTTTGATATTGCCGAGATAGAACATAGTTTTTAACACTTTTGGTAATAGTAATAGTATCCATAGTATATGGACACCAATTTTTGTAATTCGCATCGAATCGAATGTGATCGAGGAACACTTTTATGAAGTGGTCATCATTGGGGATTGGTCAGTAACCGTTTCTTACAGGTTGTCAGTTTCAACAGAGTTTTGATAGAGATGTAAGGGGCAATGCACACAGTAATATTCGGCAATAACAGTTCATTCCTGAGTTAATTCCGCTATTTAGGCAGGAGATTTAAAAAGCCCTGCTGCACTTTTTCGAAGATCCCCGCTAGGTTTAACTAACAATACGCACATTGCCGGGCACTAGACCCCTGAGATAGAAGGCCCGGGGAAACTTTCATGAAGGGTTACCTTGTTGTAAAACATTTTCCTTCCGGTAATCCACGGGATGAGAAAGATATGAGAACGACCGTGTAGGGCAGCTCGTCGAGCTATAAAATGCCCGTATAGCACTGACTCGCTGAGTGTGTCGAGTAAGCGCAAATCAAAGTGCAAAATGTAGCCATTGACTGACAGAATGTCACGTTAAACGTCTAAAACAAGCATTCGTTGTAACATATTGTAATCGTTTCTCTATGCAGGGACAGCCGTTTTGAACGAGATATGCAAATGAGTCAAGCGATTTGCGTATTACTATCTCAGCTTTTATTCCTGGCCGGAGCTGACGCTAGAGATGACACAGTAGGTTTAATACATCGAATACCTTTACGATATTTGACGTAATGAGCACCAAATGGATGACATACGCCTTCAAAACAGGTTATATAGTGCAACTGAAACCAAAATAATCTTGGTGATATTTTTATCAATTCTTGCAAAATGATACACTGATTAAATAATTGTTAGTTGCATAGCTTTAAATCTCCTAATGAAGTGTTTAAAAAACGATCGAGTTGTAGTGTTTTAGAAAGTAAGATCACTATGAGAGATCGCCTGATTTTAGCTCTGTAGTGACACGTACACGTAAAGTGAGTTTCTATTACTCACTTTGTCACATGACTGTGAAAGGGTGTGCTAATGATCGTTAATGATTATTTTTGCATTTACATATTTTGTAAATAACTGTTGATAAGTTAAACCATTCAAATGTTTATTATTATTATTATTATTATTATTATTATGATGATGATGATGATGATGATGATGTTTTATTTCTTTTCAGATTGCCTGTGCTGTTGTGGCCATTACCATGAACTATTTGTCTCTTGTAACTCTCTGTTGGCTTATAGTCCAGGCCCTTTACCTCTTCTCCTTCACCAGGAAGCGTGAAAGCGAGGAGCAGCAGAAAATGAAAACAAAACTCTATTACGCAGGCGCTTGGGGTAAGGAAAGTTATCATGGACAGTCTTTTACAATACGACGTTGGTAGTTGAGCAGTGAAATATACATTGCATTGCAATATGTGATTTAAAATGCACTAATGTTTTGCTGCGGTTTTGGTTCAGGTTTACCGCTTGTTGTTGTATGTGTCCTTGCCTCTAAGTACGAGATGTACGATAAACATCCACAGTGAGTTAATCCCTGTTTATATTAACACATTGCGATACTATATTCATTGAAATGTAAAGAAACAGACAGACAGACACATAGACACATAGACACAGCTGACAGGACCGACACTGGCAGAGGGCCAAAAGGATGAATTGATAGAGTTTCTTGAAACAAAACGTTGCATTTTTCTTTTTTTAGTGATTATGATTTTTCGTTTACTTCATCACTTCACTGTTCAAATATCTTCCTCATTAAAATACAGCTCACTACTATTATCACTCTTCGGACATACAACTCGTTTTCAAGGAGACTCTTCTGCTCTATTCATTGTTGTTTTTGTTGTGTTGATGGCTTTTTGATACATTTAAACAAATACATCAATTATGTGTTTGTTTTCCTTTGTTTCAGCTGCTGGATCTCCTTCTCTGACGCGTTGAGCTGGTCAGTGGCAACACCCATAATTACGTTAGGGATGGTGAGTAGATTACCTATCGCTATGCATCTCAAGAGATCTTTCTGCTATTCTTCTACCAGCCTCTCTGACCATCCAATCCTCATTACAACCCGGGACGCGACTGCGTCCTGGTGGTAATGAAACATCAAATTCTCGAGGTATGGCTATTTTTCATGCATGATTTTCTTTTCGGGGACCGATGTGGAAAACTGCCTTCACTCAGGTCTCGGAGTGCACATCTTCAGGCCTGCCTACACTCATGTCTCAGAGAGCCTGAAATGAGCCAAGGGCTGTCTCCTTATCACCTAACTCTGATGGATAATAAATATCCAAAATCATGAGCATATTGCTTCTTCTGTTTTCAGGTACAATTAATACTCATTGTTTTGTTGGCGAAAGCTTTGATTACTTACCGTAAGTCCAGCGACATTGAAGAAAATGAAACCAAGAAAAGTGTCATCAAGTAAGGCATCAGTTAGTTATATTAATGTGTTTTAAATTTACATGAATGAACTTCGACCAGATCAATCAAAGACGGACCCTTTTTTTCCCGAATACAAAATAATTCGCTGGTTGGTTCCAATAGAACGTTGTAGGTTTCTTAGGATACCGTCTTTCTTCGTCCAAACAACAATAAATTCGAATAGGTCGTTCATTCGCCTCAAAACTAAAGCATTTCGCTGCTTATATCACTGATACTACAGTCAATTCTGAATCAGCTACTACTTTCCTCCTGGTTTGTACTAATTGTTGAAACGAAATAACTCTCTCAATAGGTCCGGTTTACAAACAGTGGTTTGCATAACAATCAGTGTCATTCTAACCTGGCTTCTGGGATCACTTTCCTTGAACATCGATCGTGATATCTACCATACCTTTTTCTCCATATTTAACGCGTTGCAGGTGATGATTCTATTTCACTGTATTTTTTTAGGCACTTTAGGTGCGTAGACCGTCGTAAGCCTGGTTTTCACTAGCATATAGGAATAAGCATAAGCAAAATACGATGACTCAGAAAGATGTGGATTGTTGGCCTCCTTTAATTTTGCTAGGAAAATCTCAAAAAAAACAAAGAGGGGCTACTTACATTTAACAGCAACTTAGTGCGTCTACGTATGTTGGTTATGTTCATGAGCTAGTGAAATCTAACCGCGCAGACGTTTAGTACTGAACTAAACTTAGTAAGGCACACACGAGAACATAGTAAAGTTCTTTGTTTGTTTCTGCGGGGTGTCCAGTGATTATTTATACGCAAACACTGATTTACAGTGTATGAAATAAAATCATGTAATTAACTGGATGGACAAATGGTAAAAACAGGTTAAGACGAAGTCTTTGCCGTGCTTTTGGACAAACACTTAATTGCATTTGCTATGTCGACAGGGTTTTGGATTCTTCTTGTTTTATGTTGTCTTGAACCCTGAAGTGCGTAAACTAATTCTTGCCGCTTGGGAATGGAAAAGCACTCTGGTGACACCCTTTGACGAACATGAAGCCATTGAAATCGAAGAAGAAGAGGTACATTAGAAAATGTAGCTGACAGTCTATTTATACCAAAATACCATTAGGTAGTATTTATCTTTCACATCAGCAAGTGATGATTTTCTCTAAAATAAATCACGCCAATTAAAACTACTAAACGTCAAGAAAGTTAACAGGTTTAACCTGAAGCAATCTGGTCTTTAGCTGAACTACAAAGATTTTACTACTTGTTATAATGATTTTGAGATATTTCGGTTCTTTAACTGATAGACTGAATAGGCTAACTATTGGGGGGGGGGGGTAATTTTTTGTTTGTTTGATATTTTTTCCACACATTACCATTCAGTGTAGTGTCAGTGTTTCACAAGGTACACAATTCTTATTTAAGTATCATTTTTTTTCATGCAATACCGTATTCTGAGGTTAAAATTTAATGCAAAAGCCATGAATCACACGATCTTTTATAACACAAAACGTTTATTAATAAAAGAACGGGATTGTTAAAACTTTCATCTCCATGTCAATTCAAACAACTGAATGAATCTACTTTCGTTCCATTTGCCTCTAATATCGAGATTGTTTTTCGAAAAGACAATCGCACTTGTTGTACGGTCCATGTTCAGAAACATAACCGGGTTCAACTTGAGCTCCAATATCACCTCCCAACATGACCTGTCTGCCATGGACTCGTGCTTTAAAATTTGAGCTAATTCTTATTTATTTTTTATTACCTTCTAACTTTTTTTTTTAATCATAAATTAATTACATACAATACTAAAATTACTTACGCTACTAACACTTCTTACAATAATATTACCTACAGCACTTACCTTACTTACGTATACAATACTAATATCACTTACACCGTTGCTGACGTTACTTACAATACAACCGTTACTTACACTACTATTACCGCCACTCAAAATACTATCGTAGTTTACACTACTGATACTATTCACAATACCGTAGCTTACAATATTCATTTTACTTATACTTGACATTTATTACATATAAAATCAATAGAATGCTATTAATATTACCTTCTAACTACTAAATGGAGAAAAAGAAACAAAAAATAAAGAAGGAAAAGTGAAAAAAAAAAAAA